TGACCCAGACATTCCAAGGGCTGACGGGTATTTCTCCACCAATCGGCTGCACCATTCTGCAACATATAAAAAGCATACAACAATTTCTGCTGATCATCACACTCCATGACAGTAAAAATGCGATCCAACTCCTCTAACCACTGAATTGCTGCAATCGGATCAATGCCTCCTTTGTAATTTGGTGGTGAATGTTTTCGGAAGGCATTAAACATTCTTTCTCTTTGCTCTCTATTAGTGGTTGGCTGTGTCACACCACCCCTGTGACTAGATTCTTCATTCATATCATTATTTCCTTCACCCTCCACCACAATGGGATTTTCAGAAGGAGGGACAAGCTGTTGTGGTTGTGGTTGTGGCTGTGGCTGTGGACCTTGTCCACCAGCCCTTACTTCAGCCAATAATAATCTCATCATTTCAACATTTGCCAGTCTGCTTGCTTCCATCATTTGTTGATTGGCCACCCTATTAGCCTCTATCAGATCTTGATTTGCTTTCATCATTACTTCCAGCTCTCGCTGCCTAGCTGCAGCCATATTTTGCTGCATTTCAGTTAAGGCCGTTATCATTGGATCTCGCTGTAAAGAACCACCCCGATGAGTTACACGAGGCCTAGCCAAATCAGCTATAGTTGGATTTGTCGGGTCAATAGGAGGATCCGGAGTCCTTCTTGGGCGAACCATAATTCTGCATATTTCACACAAAGGAATGAGTTAGCTACGCTCACACTCAGTGATCAGACATGCATATCATAGTACTCCAAGGAAAACACTCTAGAACATAATAACCCGAACAATTTATGCAATATTTCACAGGCTCTCCTAGAGAAACCGCTCTGATACCATAAATGTAACATCTCCGTCTCGAGCCGGTTCAATTAACATACATATGATATAAACAGATACAGCAGAAGACTTATCTTACGGAAATACGGGTTAACTTTTTCTTTTTCTTCTTAGCTTCATACAAAGTATAACAAAAAAATCGGACAGAGTAACCTCTGTAAATCGGACGACTGGGGATTTTCCAATCCCACTCCCAAGAATTCCTGATAGACAATTCAATAATATTCATATTCAGAAGTACCAGTCATGCAATATAATCAGATACCCATCCATGGGAGCATGCAGAATTTGGCTCCGTGCCACTAATCTAACAACATGCAGTCCAATACAGAAACATAACTGAATACTACATAGTCATATCAACATGCCTGAATACAAAAGGTACATGCATCCACTGAATGACATGTACAAGACATATACAGGTCATATACAAAATACAGGATCTAACATAATGATCCATCACTACGGAAATACGAAATACATAGGTACACTCTAAAAAGATTAGTAGCCTACAGCTACTCAAAATACTGATCCGTCAAACGTCTCAGCCCCGTGTCGTGTCCCTGCCTAACGAAGGCTCACCGGAAGTCTGTGCACCTGAAAATGTTGCCCCAACGAGGGGTAAGATTTCAAATCTCAGTAAGCTCCAGGTTTATAGAGAATTCTCCATACCACTGGCTCACTCCTGCATGAAAGTAAGATATAGAGTATACCAGTACAACATATAACAGATATCATAACAGAACAGAACATATAACCATATCATAACAGAGGTGTGCGCTGTAATTCCCAAGGGATGACCCCAAGCGGAATTCAACGCACGTGTTCCCAAGGGATGACCCCAAGCGGAACCAGAGTATCTCAGAGGTGTACATAGTCAATCTCATGAAAGTCCTAAGAAGACATCAGTGTACCAGAAGTCAATACAGAATTTATATCAGAACCAGTCATATCATATCATGTCATATCAGATCATTTCATATCATTTCATATCATAACATATCATATCATCAAATAACTCTATATGAATGCACCTATGCAGAGTATCAATACAGTCATAGAGTCCAACCATAGTTCACTAACTATGGTGGAGCACTCAAGTAGGAAAAGACTCCTTAAACATAGAGCTTACCTCTTGAAGCTTTACCGATACGCTTACTTGTGGAACAAGTTACTTTTATCGCTTCAAGAGATTTCCGATCCTTCTCAATCCCTAGGCACACCTAGAGAATAATTTACAATGCATCAATAAAATGATACTATGCCATGATTATTTCATAAGCATACATTTTATCGCTTATTTTCCTTTCTTTATATTTTTGCCAATTCTATGCCAATACACAAGTCTAGACCTCTATATACCTGTTGACGTTCTTTAATTTAATCAAGCATTTCCTTAAGAATTTTCCACATAAATCACGCTATTTTCTTTAAAGTCGCGGGCATACCCTTAGGGACTCAAGGTATTTTTCAACCATTTTTCCTGTCATTTCACTTCTTAACTCATCTATGGGTACATTAAAATGCAACACATTTTATTAGAATAAAATGTAACCAATATATATATACCCCTAAACATCCTATAGTTCAAAACATAGAGCAAGTATTTGTAGGACTTTTTTCCAACTTTGGCATTTCCACCAATTCATCCATTTACACTACATTCCAACATATTTTACCTCTTCAGACATACAATAAAAATTTGCATTATAACTCTTATTACCCTATTAAAGGCCGAACATAAGGAGGGAAAACATATGATTTTTCTCTACTTTTTAACATGCATCAAAATGCTCCTTTTCATTACTTACATCCAAGGTACCAAGGATTCATCAACAAATCAATTTTTAACTCATAATACTCTCCCATCAAAACATATCTATCAATTTATAACTTAAATAATCAAGACAACATCATGAGAATAGAGGTTTGTTACCTCCAACAACTACCCCAAAGCCTAGAAGTCCTTTACCAAAAGGATCTCCACCAAAAACTTCATTTTTGCCTTCTTGATGAATAGTGCACGAATTTGGAGGAGAGGATAACTCTTCACACACTCAACAAAACCTCAAATTGATGGTTGGAATGGGTTCATTGGGTGGTTTACAAGCAATTTCATGTGGTGGGTCTTTGAATTTGGAGTAGAGATGATGGAGAATCAAGAAGGAGAAATTCAAAACCCTACCCCTTTCTCCAATGGTGCGGCTTGGGTTTGAGAGGGTGAGAGGAGAGAGAAACTGATTTGGGATAATGAGACTGAGTCACTTATAAGGCTAGCACATGTGGCCTTTTTTAACAGATATTTTTCTATCGCGTATTTTACTTAAAATGACCCGGAACTTAACTTAAAGCTACGAACTTATTTTTATTTTTCTGTCCACATTTACATTCATTTTTATTTCCCAAGAAACAATATTCATAATTCACAGTACAGTTTCTGCACCGTTTTTGACGAAAAGCACTGTGAACCACTAACTGTACTTTATTTATTTTTGAAACTTAACACTTATAAACTTATCATTTTCTTGGGCCTAGTTTGACTTGTATGGCATATATTGGACTTTCTTACTCTTATTCCATCATTTATTTATTTTCTGGACTCTACCGGTTGCTCAACAACAGTACAAAATACCCGGTAGAAACACTATTCACGAGATTTTCACGGAAAGTGCCAGACTATACAATTTTTCATTCCGAACTCATATTTGTCCTCAGAATTGTCAAATTATGTCTCTCAAATCATTTTCCTTATTTAACCTCTACCGGTTAATTCCCAAGATTGCGAATTATCCGACAGAACGCACTGTTCATAACATCGTCATGATTACAGTCAAAATACTCGGAATCACTCACTGAACCTAATTATGGCATTTAAATCCTTAAATTAAATCTCTAATTATGATTTACCATTTTGGGTCATTATACTTACAAACTACACTATATTCTCCCGGGAGAATACAAACTTTTACAAACTACACTATGTTCTCCCGAGAGAATATAGTGTAATTTGTAAAAAAATTCAAAAAAGTTTGTAAACAGATCCTGTCCCTTTTTTTAAATGTTGATTCACTAAATTTGTTAGAGTACCATCATTTCCAAAATTTTAAGTTTAAGAGCTTTACACTGATCCTGTAACAGAAAAAGTCTTCAGGTAGTGTTTGGTTGGGGAATTTTTTTTTAATACTAGGAAAATGTAAATACTAGGGATCTCAGGAAAAATGAGTTAGATAGGAAAGTTTTAAAAAAGTTGTTTGGTTGGGCAAAATTTTACCAGAAAATTTGAATTAAATTTCTGAATGTGTGTTTGATTGAAGATAAAATATTAATGGGAAAACTTAATAAAATTACAAAACTATCTTTGTAAAAACACCTTGGTTTTATTACAACCTTCGATAATGTGTCTCTGTCTTCATTTATCCGATTTCTCAGAGCAATCCCACCTATTCAAGCGGCTCTCTCAACAGTGCAGAAATCAGTTTTTTGCTTGTCTTTATGATTTGCTAGGCAAAGCTCTTTGATGGGAAAATCTATCCAAAAGCTTCAACCAAACGTGATTTCATCAGATACCCACATGCACTTAGCCAGCAAAATTTTAACGAAATTCCCAACCAAACACTACCTCAGTTTCTTGCAGAGAAAAAAATTAGTGGGCCCATATTTGAAAAAAAAAAGGTCAAACAAAAGAAAGAGTTTAGAGTTTGTCATATTATTTTAAGTGAAAAAAGATACGACCAATAAAAATTATAACTTATAACAGAGAAAATGACTAATTATTCTTAATTTATATTTTAAATAAAAAATATTAAATTATATCTTTCTTTCATTTTTAATAATACAACTCTATATCTTATAAAATAACATATATTTTTTCGAAACACATAAATATAATGACAGGAGAAAACATTTCTCCTAGTTTTTTCCGTAGGTTTAAATACCGGACGGACAGCTAAGTGAGCGAAAAATTGAAAGTAAAAGTGGTGGGAAAACTTTAAATGGCGCCAAAATAAATCCCTTATCTCCCGCCCGGGGTAAAGAACACGAAATCTGAGCCGTCTACTTTGACACCCTACGGCCAACGCATCATTTGTAAAAAGATTGCCGTTACATTACATAAAACCCAAATAAAACCTTACTTCGCTCCACTGTTCGACACCACGATCCTAGTTCACACACAAAAAACAAAACAATGGAGGACTCTAGAAAACACGGTGAGAGCAAAACTAAACTTTTGAATCCATGGATGCTCAACTTCCAGAAACTCGGTCTCGAACTCAAGTGCCCTCTCTGGTTCGTCTTTCTTCTTCCTCCCAATTTTTTTTTTTTGGAAAATCTTTAAAAGCCCCCTTAACTTTTTTCATAATCATTTAACTCTTCTCGAAATTTTAAATCATTTATAAGTTTGGGATTTAGGGTTTCAGGTTTCTTTATCATTTACTTTCCAAAATTTTAAATCATTTATTTAAAGTTTGAGGTTTAGGTTTTAGGGTTTCTTTGTAGTGATAAAAAAATTTAATTAAAGGTGTAAATGATTCAAAAAATTTGTAAAAGGTAAGCGATAATCGAGAGAGGGGGTTTTTGAATTTTTTTTAATAATATTTTTCTTATTTTTTCCTTGGTTCGGCAATAACTAATCTGATTAATTTTTTTTTTTTTTTTGGCCCTGCTGGATCTTGTAGTCTGAGCTTGTTCAAGAGGCCAATGTTACTGCCGTGCAACCACTTGTTCTGCAAGTTCGTTACTTCTTCTCCATCTTCGTTGTAGCCTTGGCGATTTTATTTCCCGAGTTTCTTCGTTTATTTTTTTTTTTTTAAATCAGAATACTTTTTTTTTTAATTTTTTTTTATATATGTTTTTGCAGTTCCTGTTTGGATGATTGCACAACGGCTAGATCTGAATGTGCTGTCTGCAAGGCTCAGTATGCTCAAATAGGTAACTTATTACCAATCCTCGCCCGTGTTGCTATAGGTTTTGTTAGTACTGATTTTTTTTTATTGTATTTTCTCTCTCTCTCTCTCTCTCTCTTTAATGATCTTAAAGTTCAAGGAGTGAAAAGTGATAATATTCAAGGTGACTCTTGGCAGTGCTGGGTGTTGTTATGTTATATTTATGTTTCTTTCTCATTCAATTATGTTTATGTTCCCCTCTCCCCCATGTATATGTTGGAGAATGCAAGTTTATTTGGCTCATTGACCAAATAATTTGAAAAAAGCGTATTTAGTGAGTTGAACCAATTTTTAGACGTAAGCGCCATTTGACATTCCACTTAGCTCCACCAGTGCTTATATACTCTATGATTAAAAAAAATTACTAATCGGCTGTCATATTATTAGGGAGAGTAGGCCACTTGGTACCCCTTAGAGGTGAGGTCCAGGTGGCATCATATTATAAGGTGCCACATGGACCGACAACTCTTCAAGGTGTTTCCACATATCATTTTTATTTTATTTTTTAATGATAGAGGAGTGGTGTTGTCCATGTGGCGCCCTGTGCCATGTAGACCATTGCCTTATAGGTGGCATGCACCGTGATGATGTGTAAAAATTGCTCCAATCCGGTGAATATTTTTTTTAACTAGCTGTGGGTTGCCAGAATGTCTTTTGGTATGATATCTATATTAACACTTTATGCTTTAATTGTGGGTGGCAGATGTAAGGCATGTGCCTTTTGTGGAAAACATGGTAGCAATCTATAGAAGCTTGGATGCCACCTTTTGTGCTAATCTGTTTCAGCAACGTTCTTCTGGTGAGGCCATTTTACTTTGCATTTGGAAAGTTTTTCAATTGAGGAGAAAAAGAGAGTTGCATATCACTTCATGCTGGTTTGATATTATTTTTTTTTCTATGAATTGTTTAATATAGATGATGTGAGGGTTTTGAAGCCATGCCAAGCATTTCCCAAGTCAACTTATTGTGATAAAAAGGCTGTTAAGATTCCACTGAATTTACCAAGTTCTAATGAGGTTGGGGTTTGCAAGAATCACAAATCCAATATTGCAGTGTACCATAAAGCTGAGGAGCTGGATATGTGTTGCGGGGGAGGGGTTGACTTTTGTAGTGCAGGGAAGCCTAATCCAACGCAATCTTCCCTGATGGAAATTGGGGACCGTGAAGACTGTGGAGTTATGGAAATGGATGTGAATTTAGTGACACAATCAGCACCAGGCAGCTCTCCCTTTTGTGATACCAAAGGTTCAGATATTGACTGCAGTGATCAAGACAGTGAGCATGTAAGAAAATAAACTCTTATTTATGGTCTTCTTTATTTTCACAGTTAAAAGCAGCTTCCCATCTTTGCTAGGCCCATTGACTTGGTTTCTCACTCTCATGAATTAGTATCTATAGAAAATATTGAGTGAATTGCTTGAATGATTTGCACTTAGCGTACTAATATTTATTTACATGGAGAAATAAATACAACTTGTATTTACGATTTGAATTTTAACTATTTCGTAGGACCTTATTGATTCTTCATTAAATACTACTGTTTCAAACCCTAAATCCTATATTAATTACAGTTTCATTTTCCACTAACTATTAATTATAGTTTCACTTCCCACTAACTATTAATTACCATTTCACTTCCCAATAACTACTGGTTGTCATTTCCAACGGTAGAAATCAGGAACCTGTTTCCAAAACAATCAATTGACAAATTTTATTCAATTGGTATTAAAAAAATAACCATCATAATTCATATGTAAGCAATTATGATGTAAGCCTTGGATGACTTTTAATTTTTTTTTATTCTTATGCTGGTTGTCCCTGTGTAAATTTTGATGTGGCAATTGTAACTACCACATATAATGCAAGCTTGATGAATGATGACATTATTCGATGAGACATGCTATGGGACTGTTATAAAAACATAAGGAGATTTAAGACAAGTCGAAAAAGTATTTGAAACATTGGTATTTCTCTTTTAAGTCCAACGTCCATAATTTGTCCATTTCCAATGCTTGGCAATTTGAAATAAAAAATTTATTTTGTGCCTTACTTCATTTTATGAAAATGACTAACTCTTCCTTTCAGCCGTTGCCTCCTGAGAGATTGGAAGATTATTCATTGAAGAGAGCAGGTACTGGAAATGGAAATTTAAAAAAAAGAATGGCACAGTTCAGGCCTGAAAGTTCGGCCTCTGAAACAGAGGGTCTTACGAGAGAGCTGAAGAGACAAAAAAATATTACCTTTGGAGATGATCATATTCAACATAGCACCACACATCATAATAAGCTTGTGGGTTCCCACTCTGGTCAGGACGTTAATTTTGCAAAGGACCCTGGTGCACCGATGCCCGCAAATGCACCAAATGACTTGTATCCAAGCACAAGTATCTGTTCTTTTTGCCAATCCTCTAAAACCTCAGAGGTAATATTTGATTTGCTTTAGTTTCTTGCACATATCAGAGCCTCTGTCCATTCCCCTTTCCCTGAAAACTGTTATTCTCTTGCTACACATGCTTGTGGATAAATTGTTGAAACTATTTTGGTCTTTATGGCGGATTATTGTAGGTTACCGGGCCAATGCTGCATTATGCAAATGGGAGTTCAGTTACAGGAGATGCAGCAATGCAACCAAATGTCATACATGTGCATAGGATTTGCATTGATTGGTACACTAACTCTATTTTGAGTTTGTATTTTTCATTACTATATCTTTCTGATTTATGCTTTTGGTGGAATTGTTAGGACTTACAGAGCAACCTAAAAACAGATATTAAGTCCTGATTGTTCAATTTTTTTTTTTTAATATGCCTTTGTTGAATACTTTTGTTCTCTTTTAGCTTTCTGTTAGCATTTGGCTCTGATAAGTATGCTTTAAACTTTGGGAATCCAGGGCACCACAAGTGTATTTTGTTGACGAAGCTATTAAGAATTTGAAGGCTGAAGTAGCTAGGGGAGCAAAGCTTAAATGCAGCAAATGTGGTCTAAAGGGAGCTGCTCTCGGCTGCTACGTCAAATCCTGTAGAAGAACTTATCATGTTCCTTGTGCAATGGATATCTCAACATGCCGCTGGCATCATGTACTCTTTAAAGTTATTTTTTGGCAGTTGTTTAGAAATAATTTATTTTTGTGCTTTTGTGCATTTATTTAAACTTTGTTGGTGCATTTTCTGGTTCAGGGGGATTTTCTCTTGCTCTGTCCTGTTCATTCTAATGTCAGATTTCCAAATGAGAAATCAAGGCCTAGAAAACACTCAACTGAGAAGCATCTTGCTTCATCTCAACTGTATGTTTTCTTCTAAGTCAGAATCTATTTAAGTTTGTAGCAATTATATTAACGTGTACGATACTTTAACTTGGTTTTTACTATTAGTACCATGGCATCGTTAAAATGGCATGCACTGCTTTATTTTCCAACATTTTTATGAGTTTTCAGGATTTCAAGTCAATTGCTTATTTACTTCTTACAATTGATGTCAGCAGATAAAAGCATAAGTTAAAGCACAATGCATACTACTCTGATAATAAACAATATAGTTCATTTCCCAAATGAGAGAATTTTGCATATTTCATAGATAGTTCTCTAATAGCATACTCAAGTATTTGAGTAGATTTCAGGGTTTAGTTCACTATTACTGTTTCGTTTGCCACAATACCCTCTCCTTATAGAAGTAAATTATAGCATATTATTTTGCTATTGTGAACATGTAATTTATTTCCTGTCAAGCTTTGATACTATTTCTAAGTTTTTGTCCTTCATCCAGGCCATTTCAGCAGTTAAACCCTCTGGAAGCTTCGCAGGATGATGGTCAAAAATTGGTTTTTTGTGGATCTGCTCTATCAACCGATGAAAAGGTTAGTTTGAAGCTAGTATAAATGTTACTTGCCGTGACTATGTCTTTTTGTTATCTTCGTCATCTTTACTATTTTTCTTTCTTGGGACCTCTAGTTACAATTTCATATGGATATTACATTGCAATATTTCATAATTGATGCTGAATCTTTTGATAAGTTGAACTCTCTTACCTTGATAAAAGTGCTTATTTATAAATATTTGTGTTTTTTTTGTTAAACACTCCACCTGATGAAGTATGGTGCATCATCCTGTGGTTATCTATTTTAAACTAAATGAGATAATTTCCCAACCGTTGTTTTTCATATTCCCCCTCTTTTGACGGTGCAGGTACATTTGATCAATTTTGCAAGCAGGGTTGGTGCTACAGTGACCAAGTCCTGGACCTCAGATGTCACCCATGTGATTGCAGCAACTGATGCAAATGGAGCTTGCTGCAGGACACTGAAAGTTCTCATGGGAATTCTAAATGGACGATGGATTGTAAAAATGGACTGTAAGTTATTTAGATTCTTTGTCTTCTAATGTTGGTTACTTGATTTGACACTCATTTATGACTAAGTGGTGTTACTATCCTTTTCGAGGGTGCTTGTTATGCATTTTGTTTTTTTATGCTTATTCTTGTTGATGCTATCTATCTTCTATTGTAGGGATAAAAGCATCCATGGAAGCAATGAATCCAGTAGAAGAAGAACCATATGAAATTAGTCTCGACAACCATGGGTGTTATGGTGGCCCAAAAGCTGGCCGACTTCGGGCATTGGCCAATGTAAATATTCTTTATTTGCATAAAATGTTCATACAACGGCATGAATTGTCTTTTCCACTGTCATCTTTATAATATCAAGGATCTTGGTTGATGAATGCCTCTTATTTTGTGTGTCTTGCTACTGAAATATCTAGTCGGATATGCTCTATTTGTTCTGTTTAGCCCAGCAGTGACTTTTAACATTTTAGTCTCTTTTCTTTTTGTGACCCCTGATGTCTTGATATTTATTGTTAGATTACTCGGTAAATCTCTTGTTATGAGTTTTAGTATTAATATTCTAATTGTTGTGATTGCAGGAGCCAAAGCTATTCAGTGGCTTAAAGTTTTATTTTTCTGGGGATTATGTGTCGATTAAAAAGGAAAATCTTGAAGACTTAGTTAAAGGGGGCGGAGGTTCTGTTTTGAAAAGCAAGGATGAATTGGAAGCAAAAAGACATGAGTGCGAAATTGCTTCAAAGTTGCTGGTTGTTTACGATCCTAATCCCCCACAAGGATGTAAGTTGGGCGATGAAGTTTCAATTATTTGGCAGAGACTGAATGAAGCAGACGAGTTAGCTGCTAATACTGGTTACCAAGTCATTGATTACACGTGGATTCTGGAGTCAATTGCTGCATTTAAGTTGCAGCCTTTTGTTAGCTAAAATGCAATGGATTCTGTTTTTGTTTTGTTCAGTCGTGTACAGGATTTCAATAGAATTTATATCTTGCTTGCCAGTTAGGTATTTTGTTTATGTAATATCCAGTAGTTTAATTGTCTATATTTTTTAATTTTTTTTGGTAACAAGAAGTGGCTTAAAGCCAAGCAACAAAGAAAAAACAAGAACGTAAGAGAATATTAATTATTCTATTTCTACCTACTGATGCAAGGTCCGCAAGAAATAGAAAACTAAGGTATGGAGAAGCGGAGCCGAAGAACTTGTGATCTTGTGACTAGAAGATGATTTGCTAATTAATTTGCACAAGTATTTGCTTCTCGATACCAATGTTGCAAATGAACACTCCATGGTCTGGCTAGTCAAGCCCGAATTCAAGTTACCATCTGGCTCTCTCGAGCAACCTTACTCTTAAAGGTAAGTGGTGACGGTTATAACCGAGTCACTTTCCAAAATCACTTTCTTATATCCTTTCTCTCAGGCAAATTCCATACTTTTCAAAATGTCCTATAATTTTGCACTATAAGTATTACATGTCCTTATTTTCCAAGAGAATTCTCCATTCCATTGGTCTTGATCTCCTTTGTAAATCAGTCGAACTTGGGTTACCCTTACCCGCTCCATCTGTGTTGATCTTCACCCATCCTTCCTCTGGAGCTTGCCAAGAAATCCAGGCTTCATGCTTGGTTATTGCCTCTCGGTGCAAAGTTGTTGCAAAAGCTTGTTTGTTGTTATTGACTAAGTCGAGAAGGTTTTGCTTAGAATGGTGTTGGTTGTTGCGCCTCTCACCATGAGCAATCTCGTTTCTCCATTTCCACATTTGCTAGCAAGTTATCCTGAACATTGAGTCCCAATCTAACCCATCAATACTTGCTCCTTTCCATTGGAGGTTAGCCTGAACCTATTCGCTATCATCTTTGTTAAAAAACCATTGAGTCTACGTTGGCGCAATCAGCTTTAGCCAAAGTGCTCGAACCTCCTCACAATCCCTTAGAGCATGCATGGTGGATTCAATGTGAGTATGATAGATTGAGCAATAAGAGTCACTATTGTCCCAAGATGCACATGTGGCTGTAGTTAGGATCTTAATATGCAAAAGTTTCCACACAAAGACCTGTATCCGTTGTGCACCTTTCCAATTCCAAACTTTTTGCCAAATGTCCGGGGAACATGTGTCTAGGGGTGTTTAATGTTGGGTTTGCTCTTTTACTAAAGCCCAAATGGGTTATTAGTATGAGAAGAGCCCAAGGAACCTAGAGCCCAATGAGCTAGGGTTTCTTGGAACCCATATAAATAGTACCTCTTAAGTCATCAGCCTCTTAAGTCTTTTTTGTGAGAAAGAGGCAAGCTCAGAATCTAATCAGTGCCCACACACTTCCCCTTCCTCCTCGAGAGATAGTTTGGAAGATCTGCCACAGTCCAGCTTCAAGGAGGTTGTTCGTGCTGCGGCGCTGAGGTGAGCTGTTCGTGAAGAGGAATCCTACAAGGGAAGATTCTACACGAGACCTGCGCACCGAGAGGTAATTGTGAAACAAGGATGATTCGGTAAGCATACCAATGTACTAGGTCCTAAACCGCTTCCGCATAAATCTAAGATTTCCTACAATTGGTATCAGAGCCTTGGCTGTACATTGGTATGTGAATCTAGTTTCACTATTCATGTAATTAGTTTTGCTTCTTGAAGTGTGGCACCTAGGGTTCTAGGATTATGGTATGAATCTAGCATGTGTAATTTATAATTCATTTTCATAAAAGTTTAAATTTTAATCGGTAAAAATGCTTTAATCCATGGTTAGGGTCTCTCGTGTATTTCTCGATTTGTAACAAGGAGGCTAATCCCATATGATTAGGTTTCCTCCTTGCTGTTTTTGTTTATTTTTGGAATTTCTGTGTATTTTTTCAATATTTTGTAAAAGTTCAATATCGAGAAATCGCGAGGAAGATGCGCAGTCAGCACTGTCAGAGACTTTTCGAGGACTTACCGATCTCAGAATGGGGCGATCTATATATGGTTGGAAAGAGGACGGAAAGAAGAACCCAACAGTGGGTGGATCGCCGCCATCGGAGCCTTCACGCTCCTCCACGCGCCTCCACAAGCGTCTGAGAGTGGTCGCCACTCTCTGACAAAGAATGGGAGAGTGAGGTAGCGTCCAACCACCTTTTTGGGTGGTTCCGGCGGCGGTGCACTCGTCTCTACGTGGCGGTCCTTCCCCTGGAGTTTCAGCCTGATTTGACTTCGGGTGACGGCGCGGCAGACCTGACGGCTAGGGTTCCTCTTTCGCGTCCTAGGGTTTCTCGCCAAAGGATTGGGTCTTTGGGCTTTTGGGCCCATGAAACCCTAAAGGGGCTTGAGACAGATACTATGGGCTAGGCGAAAGTTGAATTCCAAAGTTATAACATTTTTTTAATTTTCTTTAAAATAGGAATGTCATGGATTAAAGTAATTAGATTTTATTATTTCATGCTTTTATTGATTGATATAAATTATATGATTGATAACATGCTTTATTGCGATAACATGCCATATAGAATAGGTGGTGCCATATTGTTGCATAACTTGTATGATTGCATGAGCATAATAGCTATTATGTCTTCAGCGACTAGTATGATAGTTATTATGAGATTATTTTGATTTTAAATCATCCTAAGAAATTAATTAATAATTATTATGATTTTTATTAAAAATCTAGATTAATAATTGAATTAATTAATTTTGGATAATTAACATCAAGACAAATAATCGTTATGGAAATTATTTTGATTTCAAATTATCCTCATAAATGATAATTATTATGATTGTTGCAATCTAGATTAATAATTAAGTCAGCTATTTGGATGATTTAAATCTAGAAAAATAATTAGAGAAAATTTCCTAAGAGAATTCTTTTATTTTGCGAGTAATTTGTGGGTTTTCTGAAATGGTCATGGAATAACACACGCTGCATACAACATTCATGTATCATGATTGTTTGGAGCACACGCTGACGTAAAGTGACCGGATTTCAGGACCTTAATGCTTTCAAAATTATGTTAAGCTTAGTGCACGTTTATCGGCGCTCTTACTTATATAGTTTTTGAAATCAAACAAAGGATACTCTCAATTAAATAATTCTTGGAAATTAGAAAATGTTGCTTATGTTGAATGGAAGGAGATTTAAATTAAGAGATTAATTTAACCTTCAAGCGCATTATAGGACCATTAATAAAATAATCATGTGAAGTCCCATCGAATAAGCATGATTGAATTTTATTAGATTAGACTTAAATATCTATGGGAGGAGATTTAAATTAAGAAATTAATTTAACCTCCAGGCGCATTGTGGGCCTATCAATAAAATAATCATGTGAGGCACCAACGGATAAGCATGATTGGATTTTATTGGGCCTTAATAATTTCAAAATTTTAATAAAGTATTGTACGGCCCATCGTCGATAATACTAAGTTATTAAAGATAATTTTGAAATTAAACAATGAATTCGACTGGGCTTATGAAAATTCTCAAACAAAAATGTTGAATGGGTGAAGATTTTAAAAATTAATTAATTTTAAAACCTGCGGGCTCCATTTGTGGGTTTATTATGAAATGGTTATCGCTGAAGCCCCATCGGATAAGGATAATCAGATTTCACTAGATTAAATCTTAATAATTTCAAAATTTTAGTAAAGTATTGTACGGCCCATCGTCGGCAATGCTTAGACACTAAGGATAATTTTGAAATTAAACAATGGTTAATTACATTCAACTTTGGTAAAATTGTTAACCCTCCCATCGAGGCTCTGGCAATGGCACTGAAGGCTCAAATAACAATTTTGGTTTTTACAAGTGACTTGCCCATCGTAAGCCTTGTAAAGATAAACTGAAGGATTGTTAACAATAAACAAGAGTAGTTATGAGAATCTACTCGCACTTCGTTTGTTTATTGCATTATTTGTTTGTAATTGTGTGCTTTATATGTTTTTCAGAAAATATCTTAGAAATGATTTTGAGTCGAAAACCTCTAGATGGTACCAACTATGAACAAGTGAAAAACAAATCTTTGATATTGTTCTAAAACATGGAAGCTAAAATTTGTCCTGACAATGCGAGGGCCATAGCAACCTGCAGAGAATGCGTCTAAGGAAACTAAGATGCATTTCTCAGATTGGGAAAGGGCAGATATGGTAGTTCGCTGCTATATTATTGTCAGTCTTTCCAAATACTTGCAGAAGCAAGTGTACATGATTAAGAGTGGAGTAAAAATGCTTCAGACTCTTAATGACATGTTTGCTGCGTCTAGCAGCTCTGCTAGACAAAATGCAGTCGGTGCAGGTTTTGCTAAGAGTCTTGTTAAATCCAAAGGGAAACCCAAGGGTGGTAACAAGAACAAAATAACTTGGTTATCAGTTGTCAAACCAGTTGCTATGAAGAAGCCGCAAGGCAAGTTCTTCAAGTGCAGACTGAAGGGATACTGAAAGAAAAATTGTCCAGAGGTGATGAAAAGAACCTGACATGGGCATATCAAGGCCTGATCAGTGAATGAATTATTGATTCAGGAATCACTGATTATGTTTGTTACTCTTTGTAGTAGTTCAAACATGGCATACCTGTCAGCAATGGACATAGATATTTTAAGCTTGAAAATGGAAACTTGTGTATGCATTTGCAGTAGGACAAGTTATTTAATGACTATGGTTTTGGGTGACTGTTTATTTGTTCCGGATTTCAAGAGGAATTCAATTTTTGTTAGTTGTTTTGGTTAAAACATGGTTTGACAATGCAATTGATTCCTCAGTTACATTTCGAAGTTCATCTTCGTCTTGTTTTGTTCTGGTACATTGTTTAAATAGTCTTTATTACCTATGTCCTATACCCTTTTTAAATTTGTTATGTTGAATGGAAATGATGATGAACAAGAACTTTCACCAAAGAAATAAAAGTTTCAAATGAAACATAACTTTGACCTTTGTGATTGAGTCATATTATCTCAAGTAGGAAATATATTTTAGTTAAAAGAGGGACTGAAAGTTCAATAATCTTTTAACTAACAGCTACATGTTAGTCCTATTTGGAAGGTAAAGTAGCCAAGC